CAGTGGTGATATTCAGCGGGTTCGCACAGGTTCGGCCGAACCCGTTGTTAACATTTTCAAAGTTTTCCGAACATTGTTAAACATATGTAACATTTCTCAATGGTTTGATTCTTTTAAAAATATTAAAATATACGTATTATACTCTGTAACACTACTAAACTAGAGCCTTCCGATGCACTATTTGAGCGAAAAAAAAAATTATTAAGGAAAAGTTTTCTGTTAGCGAACCCTTTGTTAAATATTTTGAATGTCATCACTGGATATACTGTACTAGGATTCACAACTTCACCAAGTAATTCACAAACAGAATATTGACCAATCCATCACTTTTAAAAATACATTCATCAGAAAATTAAATTTTAAGATAAAAATTTGGTGATTGATTGCAAGTCCAATTGCAAAATCAAGTCTTAGTCAAAAATCATAATAATTCAATGCTGGTTAAGAGATCTTCTGTAAGGATGAAACTTGGTGTCTTTCAAAATGTGCTGGATACTTTCATGACTCTCATCAGAATCTTTAGCTCATCATTATAAAAAATCTTCAGGATTACTTTCTACTGATACAAAAATATCCATTGCTTTTTCATCTATAATTGGATAACAAATTTGTCTGTGTTATGATGAATTTGAATGACTTTCATTTTTGATTCGATTAGCCAAATGTGAAAAACATTGGATTAATCAAATGTGAGTGAGTAGTCTGATCAGAATAACACTCATGCACAACCTTTTTAGATGTAGTAAATGTACCTCAACATTCACCCAAAATTATCAGCATATTATTAAGAGTCATCATTTGAATAAAACATGGCTACATAGATCACTATGACATCTTTTGATAGGAGTATAACTGAAATTAAAATGTTTTTGAATTGGAAATGTAAACAAGATAAGCAGTTTGTCAACAAAATGTAAGCGTATTGATAATTACATTTCGCTATGTAGTTTTGAAACTACATTTACTATAGCAAAAGCTTACAAGCTGTTTTGCAAACTTTAGTTTTTTCACTCTTTCAAAATCATTTTACAGTCACTGGAAGTATTTTTTTAGTATTTTATTACAGTAGTAATGCAATCATCATCTGAAATTTAAATTTAAATTGAAATAAATATGAAAAAGTAGTAAATTTATTTGAATACTTAAATATGAAATAATATCTGTTTTAAAAATTGATGATAGTTTCATCAGCTTATGATGATTTTTAAAATTTATTTGAATTATAAAATAAGTTTTTTTCTAAAATATTGTTATTAAATAACATCATAATCAATAATGAATTAAATGCATAGCTTTGTAAATTTTACATTTATTTTTATTCTGATGTTAATTTTAGGTAAGTGGTGGATTTACTGTTGGAATGACAGTTTTGGAATGTGTAAGAAAAGAAGCACAAGAAGAAGCATCTTTGCCTGATGCTCTTCTTGATAGAATGAGATCTTGTGGTACAGTATCGTAAGTAAATTTTATATATTTATGTACTAATGTATAAGTATAATATATGCATTATAAAAAAAATCAGTTTGAAGATTTTATTCTGACTATTTTTCACAACAAACATTTTAAAATTAATTTACATATATATAATATGACAATCTTATCATAATATGTTTCAATTGCCACACACTATCAAAGGATAATAAAAACAAAATTGGAGACAATAAAAATACATTTATTTAACAATACATTAGAGCATCAATTATCTGAAACAATTCAGGAATGGGGTTGTTTGGATAACTGATCATTTACAAAAAAATATATTAAAGACAGACCTGTACTGTATGTAATTTGTATCACATGTCTTACAAATGTGAAGATGTGTGTGTAAAACACGTGATAATACGACAAAAAAGATCAAATCACTATTAGTCGGATGAGTTGACAAAGAACGGAATTCCCATCATGGAGACACTTATATACAGATATAATTACATCATCTCCCCTCTCATTCAATCTTCCTGTGAGAAAATTAATATATACATACAATCCTGATTAAAATTAAGAAACCTATAATTAAACTTAAACCTAATACTATAACTACAAGAAAGAAGGAAGGAAAGTTAGTTAGGAAATCTACTGGTAGCTAGGTCTGTGGGTTCTGAACTGGGTGAATATCGACGGTTCTCACTTCGTGCACAGTGAATGTACAATCTGTTTGCATCCATTTACAAGGGGGCAATGCAGTTATTATTGAACATGTGTCGAGGTGGTTCCTTGGAATTCTCTGGAACTCATCCCAATTATTTCTTTGTCTCTGTTCTTATCTTGTCTATCTTGGCCCTTTCTCTCTTTAGCCTTCTGCCTTATACACTGTCTTCCAGTTCACTCTTGCATGACCTCTTTCTCTTGTGGCAAACCCAAAAGTATCCTTTCTCCTCACCCATCTAACAGTCCCCTTGAGCAGGACACCCCTCCTGTCCCTTTTGTAGATTGGCCAATCAGGACCCTCGAATATTCCAGTTCTTGTCACGTGACAAAAAAGGGTTAAAAGTGGAAGGAAGAAGAATTATGGGAAAGAAGAAAGGAGTTCTTATTCTATATACAATATAATTATACAACAAAATGGTGGACAGCCACACAAATACATACCTTACATAATGTAATACATTAAACTAGACCTACAGTTCAGTTTGGCAGGGAGAGGAAGGGTCCTGCAATGCCACAGCCCTAGTGGAAATTTGAATTTGCCGACTGGAATGCTTTCGGTTGGTCTGTATTCGGATAATCAATGCTCTACTATATTTTCTTTTATAAATTATCAAATGCATTTTGGCTTTATCAAATTTAAGCCCTATTCAGTTAAGAAGTTTATAGCAATAATCTTAGAGAAACAAGACTTCTAAGATTATTGCTATAAACTTCTTAACTGAATAGGGCTTAAATTTGATAAAGCCAAAATGCATTTGATAATTTATAAAAGAAAATATAGTAGAGCATTGATTATCCGAATACAGACCAACCGAAAGCATTCCAGTCGGCAAATTCAAATTTCCACTAGGGCTGTGGCATTGCAGGACCCTTCCTCTCCCTGCCAAACTGAACTGTAGGTCTAGTTTAATGTATTACATTATGTAAGGTATGTATTTGTGTGGCTGTCCACCATTTTGTTGTATAATTATATTGTATATAGAATAAGAACTCCTTTCTTCTTTCCCATAATTCTTCTTCCTTCCACTTTTAACCCTTTTTTGTCACGTGACAAGAACTGGAATATTCGAGGGTCCTGATTGGCCAATCTACAAAAGGGACAGGAGGGGTGTCCTGCTCAAGGGGACTGTTAGATGGGTGAGGAGAAAGGATACTTTTGGGTTTGCCACAAGAGAAAGAGGTCATGCAAGAGTGAACTGGAAGACAGTGTATAAGGCAGAAGGCTAAAGAGAGAAAGGGCCAAGATAGACAAGATAAGAACAGAGACAAAGAAATAATTGGGATGAGTTCCAGAGAATTCCAAGGAACCACCTCGACACATGTTCAATAATAACTGCATTGCCCCCTTGTAAATGGATGCAAACAGATTGTACATTCACTGTGCACGAAGTGAGAACCGTCGATATTCACCCAGTTCAGAACCCACAGACCTAGCTACCAGTAGATTTCCTAACTAACTTTCCTTCCTTCTTTCTTGTAGTTATAGTATTAGGTTTAAGTTTAATTATAGGTTTCTTAATTTTAATCAGGATTGTATGTATATATTAATTTTCTCACAGGAAGATTGAATGAGAGGGGAGATGATGTAATTATATCTGTATATAAGTGTCTCCATGATGGGAATTCCGTTCTTTGTCAACTCATCCGACTAATAGTGATTTGATCTTTTTTGTCGTATTATCACGTGTTTTACACACACATCTTCACATTTGTAAGACATGTGATACAAATTACATACAGTACAGGTCTGTCTTTAATATATTTTTTTGTAAATGATCAGTTATCCAAACAACCCCATTCCTGAATTGTTTCAGATAATTGATGCTCTAATGTATTGTTAAATAAATGTATTTTTATTGTCTCCAATTTTGTTTTTATTATCCTTTGATAGTGTGTGGCAATTGAAACATATTATGATAAGATTGTCATATTATATATATGTAAATTAATTTTAAAATGTTTGTTGTGAAAAATAGTCAGAATAAAATCTTCAAACTGATTTTTTTTATAATGCATATATTATACTTATACATTAGTACATAAATATATAAAATTTACTTACGATACTGTACCACAAGATCTCATTCTATCAAGAAGAGCATCAGGCAAAGATGCTTCTTCTTGTGCTTCTTTTCTTACACATTCCAAAACTGTCATTCCAACAGTAAATCCACCACTTACCTAAAATTAACATCAGAATAAAAATAAATGTAAAATTTACAAAGCTATGCATTTAATTCATTATTGATTATGATGTTATTTAATAACAATATTTTAGAAAAAAACTTATTTTATAATTCAAATAAATTTTAAAAATCATCATAAGCTGATGAAACTATCATCAATTTTTAAAACAGATATTATTTCATATTTAAGTATTCAAATAAATTTACTACTTTTTCATATTTATTTCAATTTAAATTTAAATTTCAGATGATGATTGCATTACTACTGTAATAAAATACTAAAAAAATACTTCCAGTGACTGTAAAATGATTTTGAAAGAGTGAAAAAACTAAAGTTTGCAAAACAGCTTGTAAGCTTTTGCTATAGTAAATGTAGTTTCAAAACTACATAGCGAAATGTAATTATCAATACGCTTACATTTTGTTGACAAACTGCTTATCTTGTTTACATTTCCAATTCAAAAACATTTTAATTTCAGTTATACTCCTATCAAAAGATGTCATAGTGATCTATGTAGCCATGTTTTATTCAAATGATGACTCTTAATAATATGCTGATAATTTTGGGTGAATGTTGAGGTACATTTACTACATCTAAAAAGGTTGTGCATGAGTGTTATTCTGATCAGACTACTCACTCACATTTGATTAATCCAATGTTTTTCACATTTGGCTAATCGAATCAAAAATGAAAGTCATTCAAATTCATCATAACACAGACAAATTTGTTATCCAATTATAGATGAAAAAGCAATGGATATTTTTGTATCAGTAGAAAGTAATCCTGAAGATTTTTTATAATGATGAGCTAAAGATTCTGATGAGAGTCATGAAAGTATCCAGCACATTTTGAAAGACACCAAGTTTCATCCTTACAGAAGATCTCTTAACCAGCATTGAATTATTATGATTTTTGACTAAGACTTGATTTTGCAATTGGACTTGCAATCAATCACCAAATTTTTATCTTAAAATTTAATTTTCTGATGAATGTATTTTTAAAAGTGATGGATTGGTCAATATTCTGTTTGTGAATTACTTGGTGAAGTTGTGAATCCTAGTACAGTATATCCAGTGATGACATTCAAAATATTTAACAAAGGGTTCGCTAACAGAAAACTTTTCCTTAATAATTTTTTTTTTCGCTCAAATAGTGCATCGGAAGGCTCTAGTTTAGTAGTGTTACAGAGTATAATACGTATATTTTAATATTTTTAAAAGAATCAAACCATTGAGAAATGTTACATATGTTTAACAATGTTCGGAAAACTTTGAAAATGTTAACAACGGGTTCGGCCGAACCTGTGCGAACCGGCTGAATATCACCACTGAGTATATCAACATACATTTTTTCTACGTGGAACATGTGTATCAAATGAAGATGGCTTATTTCCAAATAACTTGAAATCTTATACTGGCAGAGATATGGAAGGCATTGGCAACAGAGGCCATGAATGGCTAATAAAATTATTTAATAAAATTTTGAACATGGAAAATATACCAGAGAAATAGAGAAAACTTATCTTGTACCAGTATACAAGAACAAAGGTAACATTTAAAATTGCTGTATGCAGATGATGTGCTTATTGATGTTGACATGGACAAATTACATTAAGTTGGAAAAGTGGTGGAAAAGACTGGAAGATAATGGCTTAAAGATTATAGAAAGAAAATAGAGTATATGAAATATGCTTTTGGGGAAGGGGTGCTTCTGAGAATGAAGTTGATGTGAAAGTTGAAGGAGTGAGAGTGAAAGATTCAGATATTTGGAGTCAGTACTCCAGCAAGATGAAGAGATTGATGAGCTAATAGAGTTGCAGCTGGTTGGACTAAATGGAGAGGAGCTAGTGGCATACTTTGTGACAGAAGAATGCCTTCAAGATTAAAAGGAAAATTTTAAAAATGGTTGTTAGGCCTGCAATGTTGGTTGTATGGTTCAGAGCACTGGCTGTGAAGAAAGTGCAGGTACAGGTAATGCATGTTGCAGAAATGCAGATGCTGAGATGGCTGAGTGGTGTCACAAGGAAAGAAAGTGTGGAATAGTTACATTAGAAGAAGCTTGGGCATCATGGAGGTAGAAGAAAAATTGGGGAAAATCAGACTGTGGCAATTTGGGCACGTGCAACACAAACCAGAAACAGTCCCAGTATGAATCCTTGGGAATATCAGTGGAAGAGGCAAGGTGGAGAAAAAAACCAAGAATGACCTGAAATGAGATATGGAGGAATGTGGCATCTTGGAGAAAATTGCTTTGGACAGGACAAAATGGAAGAGAAAGACTCAAAATGCAACACCATATAGTTGGGAAAAGGTCAAGAAGTTGTGAATTAATATTTTTAATTAATATATACTGTAATCCAAACAACCCCATTCCTGAATTGTTTCAGATAATTGATGCTCTAATGTATTGTTAAATAAATGTATTTTTATTGTCTCCAATTTTGTTTTTATTATCCTTTGATAGTGTGTGGCAATTGAAACATATTATGATAAGATTGTCATATTATATATATGTAAATTAATTTTAAAATGTTTGTTGTGAAAAATAGTCAGAATAAAATCTTCAAACTGATTTTTTTTATAATGCATATATTATACTTATACATTAGTACATAAATATATAAAATTTACTTACGATACTGTACCACAAGATCTCATTCTATCAAGAAGAGCATCAGGCAAAGATGCTTCTTCTTGTGCTTCTTTTCTTACACATTCCAAAACTGTCATTCCAACAGTAAATCCACCACTTACCTAAAATTAACATCAGAATAAAAATAAATGTAAAATTTACAAAGCTATGCATTTAATTCATTATTGATTATGATGTTATTTAATAACAATATTTTAGAAAAAAACTTATTATGCTTTCCGCCNACAGTAAAATAAATTATAATTATTATTAAAAGAAAAGAAAAGACCATGTTCAAATTTACAGAATAAATAAAAGACTAAACTAGGGCTGTGGAATCAGTCAAAAGCAATTTTTGAGTTACTGGAATCAAAATTGGCAAAAACAGACTGACTTTGGCTCCTAATAAATTTAAATTTTAATATAAATAATACTGTACTTATTTTTTAAGATTATATTTTACATTTAAATAATACTTTAAATTCAAAAGGAAGAAAACTGGTAGAGAAAGATGTTAAGAGAAATTATTAAAAAAAAAAACATCAGGTTCTTTATAGTTTTTTATTATTTTATATTTTATAGTGTTTTAATAAAAATATAACCTCATTTTTATTTTCTAAGTTGTTTTGTCTTTTCTTTAAGCTTTAAGTTAATTAATATTTGTAATTTCTTCAATAAATAAAATAAAGCCACAATAACAAAGCTATATCATTTAGATTAGGAATGGACAACACTTGGCACAAGTGCCAAATATGGCATGATGACGACTTTTTTCTAGAATGCAAGGCACACCTTAAAAAATAAATATCCAATGTTTTTTTTTTATATTTTTTCATGTTTTGTAAAGAATTTATCAGATTTCTAAAGTACATATATATGTGGATTTTCAAGTATTTGAAAATATTCTCTCAATACTTAAAAGATATGAAATAATATGCTCCCAAAAATTCCAGCAGCACTTGAGATGATTTGGTGATTTTGGCACTCACTCTTAAAAGGGTTGTCCACCCATGATTTAAACTGAAACTTAAGTTATGGTTCTAAAAAATAGTCTGATGATTTATGTTGACAATAATGAAATGTCTTTTATGTTGAGTACTTTCAATCAATATGAAAAGTATATAATATATTTATTTATTATTTATTGATATGTAAATAAAGAAATTGAAGTCAAATGTACTATAAATGGAAGAGTCAGAGTCAAAACTATTGACTCCACAGCTCTGGACTAAACAAAACACATTCAATAACAGAAAATGAAACAATCATGCAAAGTACAATTTAAATAAAATGCATATATATAAAAGAGATCATACTAACAGGTTGCTGATCTTTCAATTTTCATTAAAGCTGGATCACCAAATTTTGCACTTACATCATAACACTAAAAAATTAAATAGAAAAATATGTAACCAGAAATTATACATTAAAATTTCTCATTATTTTATTGTTAAATGAAAAAATTTTAATCACAAAGTTAGTAACAACACATATTTAAAAATAAATTATTGTAGAACTGGAAAAATCTCAAGAAAAATAAAATTCATATCTTATAGAAACTCCAGCAATGTAACTTGACAACTGAGAAAAATCTAACAAATTAAGTCAAAAACATTTTTGTTTATTAAAACTTATATTGCTGGAGTTTCTTTAAAGTGTAAATTTTCTTTTTCTTTACATTTAAAAACTATAAAATAATTGTTATGTACAATACTTTCACATCACATGTTCAAAGCTATATTTGGTATAAAATCTTATACCATATATATATATCTTTACATCTACACATTTTAATAAGTTTGTGAAATGGAGGCACTTTGACTACTCAATGATAATGTCATACTTTGTAATTGAGTTCAAGAATTGCTTAAGTCATTCTAGATTCTAAATAAATTATATATGTTTTGTTCCCTTTCTTTAATATATTGTAGAAAGCTCAATACTATTATTACTTATTAATTAATACTTTATTAATTCATGTTTGAACTGAGCAAAATCTTGGACCATAACAATGTCAAACAGACATAAGAAAATATTAAATATATTCTCATAAATTTTTAAATATGAAAATCCTTCTTGAAATTCTCTTAGTAAATATACCATATTTACTCGCATATAAGACAAGGTTTTTATTCATTTATCACAGCTTCAAATTCCTAGGTTGTCCTATATGTGCGAGTGAAAGATTCTTTGCGTTTTTGCAAATAATTTTTGTGAACCATGTATTCACATTTTTTACCGGATGCTCACACTCGTATTTAAAAACTTAAGTATATTATCTGGGTCATTTGAATCATTCTTGTATATTGTCAGGAGTAAAGATGAATAGCAATAGGAAAAGCAAAGCTTTTGAATTGAATTAGAGATAAAAATTCCAAAATCACACGTGAGCACAATATAAGTTTTAATCCATTCCCAAGTAAAAACAGATGATTATTCAGAAATCAGAATTCGGAGAAACTCCTAAGTGTAATCAATGGAGAATGGATTTGACTGTTAAGAATTGGCAAAAAAAGATCCCTGATTGTCGTGAACAAATTATCTTATCGATTTTACAAGATTTTTCCTTAAAGTTTAAAATGCCAGTAATTTTTGCAAAACAATATGTGCATTTACATTTATTTGATATTTTACTTGTGATTAAATGAAATAAAATTAGAATTGTATTAATAAATCTAATTTTCTTTATTTTGATCTTTAAAGTCACACCTCATTCTATATGTGAGGTCATCTTATATATGAGTAAATACAGTAATTCAAGAACATTCTGGTCATTTTCATTCATAAAATTTCAAATTTCTTCTCTCAATTATCAAAATTTCTTTTAAGCCTTTTCCACAACTTATGAAATTTAAATTTTTTGGAAATAAGCCCAATAAAATTTTAATTATTATATAGAGATATAACTTTATTAAAATTGGCTGCCAGGTTAAAGAAAACCAGTAACTAATGGTCATCTGATTTTGAAATGACCTACAGAACATAATTGTTACATGAAGCAATCCTTGGTGGCTAACTATAATCAAATAACTTGCACAGTAAAACATAACTAAACCCGTTAACAATCTAAACACAGAATGATTTGAAATTTTAAATCTATATGCACGTGTAAATGTGTAATTCTAATTAAAATTTTATTAGGCTTATTTCCAAAAAATTTAAATGAAAACAATAAAAGTTCTTATCATTTATCGGAAACACAGAAGACCACTGTAACTTAAGAATATGTCTATTACTTGACATTTATTACACATATAGGGAAAATTTAAGGAAATATAATTTCATTATACCAAAACACCAATTTAAAAACATTTGTTGTTGTAAACATACTATTAAATACATATGTATACAGTATGTACAGTACTGTACCTTTGAAGCTTTGTTAAAATAATATTTAATAACTGTTTTAATGTAAATCGAAATTTTGAAACATTTTCGAAATGCAAGAAAATTTTGATTTACATTGGAGTTTCATTTAGCTGCACTGCTTTTCCAGTAATAATAACTGTTTTAATTTCTGAGTGTAGGTGATAAGGTGTTATACATCATATTAAATGTATTTAACTATACATGTGATATTTCATTGTAATAAAAAAATCTATACAAGATAATTACTGTTTAAAAGGGCCTCACAAAAACATTGAGTGGGCCGCATATGGTCCCTGGGATGGACATCACTGTTCTAGAACACAAATTCAAATTTTTATCATTGGAATATTAACATATCATAAAACTAATATATAAATTTGAAAATATCCAAAACTGATAAATTTAATAACTAAAACATATGCATTATCATCTTTGAATATTTTTGAATTTATACATTCGTTTTACAACATATTAATATTCCAATATAAAAATTTGAATTTGTATTCTAGAATATAATTGTCCAAAGTACCATTGTGGCATTCCATTACATATTCTATTTGAAGGTGGTTATTAAAAATGCCCAAAAACATTTATTAAATTTTTGCTGCATTTCAAGGTTGTTTGAGTGTGTTTGTGAAGTTAAAATACAAAAACCTGGGTTGCCCTTATGCTTGTTAGTCAACAAAAACACCCATCCCAGGTATTCCTTAGAAAAGGCCTTAGCCACCTTTTTTTTATGGCTTTAATCCAACACTCTAGTTTTGTTATCACTTTAGTATTGGAGGCCAAGTCAAGTATCATCGAATTAGTATGAATCACCTCGCCAGAAACATATTGATTCTATAAAACTGATGTATTCTCATTATATCCATCTGTATCATACTTTGATGGTAATGCTTGCAAATACTCTTACTTCAAAAATTCTATAGAATTCAGCAAATATTTGATGCATGGGAAACCATCCACTTAATAATCAGGCATAATTATTTCCAGATTAATGGTTAATATTTTGGTTAATATGATACCATTGTAACAGTTAATGTATTGATTTATAGAAGCTGTTGAAGAACTGTAGAAAAAATTTAATCATATATATATATATATATGATTCTATAAATTTATAAAAAAATATATATNATATATATTTTTTTTTTATAAATTTATAGTAAAAATTTTTAAAAATATTCTAATTTGTAGAATGAATGATAGTTTCTAACTTAAATATAAAATTAGAAAATATTGAAGGAATATAGCTAAAATTACCAGATTAATTAACTGAATAAATTTATATCCAACATTTGATAGCTGTCAAGGGATTCAAACTGTCTTTTTATAACTTTTAATATTTAGCATATAAATTAAACTATAATATTGAAGAAATTTTTCTCATTTGATACATAAAAAGTAGACAAAGGAAATTTAAAAGAATTGGAATAATGAAAATGTTTTACAAAAAATATTTTTCTATTCCAATGAATATTAAAAATTTTTGGTTAAAATTTTGAATTTATCTTCTTAGTATATCAAAATTAAAATTATAGCTTGTGCATGAATATGAGTCAGATGCAATTATTCAAACTTTTAAATTACAAGATGTTAGATTATTCCCAATGGTGAATTACCCGATCCCTTTCAACCCAGACGTGGGAATGAAAGAGACACCTGGAGAGGTCTAAAAATATGAACATGTTCAACTACCAATATAATAGGATGAATTCACAATATGGTCAGAATAAAGTAAAGGTCTAATGAATCTTTTGCACTAAAAATAAAACTGATTAGAAGGAAATTTTTTCAGTGAAAAATAAAAATATGAATTTTGTCCCTTTCAATCCCCACCCTTCCCTATAGTGGTAGAAGGGGAAGAAGAGTAAGGTTATTATTGTTTAGAAAAAGACATACCATCAATTAAAACATTAGGCAATTCCAATTATGATCTCGGCATATTAAATTCTTTGGCTATGTTGGAAACACTAGAGAGGTTGTGGCCGAAGTTTTCATCTCTAAAACGTGAACATCGATCGTGAGCACCGCATCTTGTAAGCCTAGAAGTTTGATAGTGGCATTTAGAATGTTGAGTATTATTCCAATGTTGTTCTGAACGCCACTGTCAAACTTCTAGGCTTACAAGATGGTGGTGCTCACTCAATATTTGACGTTCACGTTTTAGAGATGAAAACTTTGGCTGCAACCTCTCTACTTTATCCATTTTCAGACTTAAAAATAATTCTTTTATCTCTGTTGTTCTAACAGCTTTCCTTTTTTGCTGTTTTTCTGCAGTGTGCTTTGTTGGAGCCATTGGAACTTGAGTTTTTGAAAATAATCAACACGAGAAACAAGAACACACACCACGACTGCACAAAGTAGACTGATTAACTACAGCTAGCTGAAATAGTGTTGCCAACTCAAAATTCAAATTTATAGCTAAACATTTTAATAAAAATATTCATATCATATTGTTTCCATTAAAATTGTTAGAGTTTTTGTATTTGTAGCTAGATAGCATTATAAAAATAGCTAAGCCATTATAATTTAGATAATTTGCATAGCTAGATTGTGTGAAATCTGAATAGCCCTGGGTCTAATTAACAATTTAAAATATAAAGCTAAAATTATGAAGTAAAATATTCTTTCATTTTGGTGTCAAAATATCGTTTTTTCTAACATGGGAAAACTGATAAAAGAGCCACTTCCTTTAATGGAAGTAGACATATCCTTTTGTTTTCCATTTATCTATCACAAATCTCACCACCCTGGGAATTGTCGACCCCTCAATTCCCCCTTCCCTCTGGTCATGTGAAAAAATACAAATATGCTGATTGGTCACAAATCATGAGATATTGTCAAAGATCTACATGATTCGGGGAGTACATCATAGGACCTTATCGAAGCCAGACGTATTCCATATAGGCTCCCTAAGGCCAATGCCCTTAGTCGTATCCAATTAAGTATAATAATGAGTAAATTTACGAGGGAAGAAGAAAACTTTTAATATTGTGCCAAATCAAGACCTCT